TTATATCAATAGGATCGGACAAACCCCCTCCTATCTTACCAATGGACGATCTACAGGATACATCATTGATATATCTGGACTAACGTTCATTAAAAAACAAAAAAGAAGGAGATGTGGAGATTAACCAAAGCTACCTCATGTTTAATTAGTGTTTTGACTTTTGTGTATTGTATAAGTACGTGCAGACTGCCCTGGCAGTGGGAACACGTACGAAGTGCAAATAAATGTTATCTGTGTCTGTGTCTAGCAAATAGCTAACCAGAAGGTTGTTATTTCCTCCTTGAGAGCGAGGTCTTTGTGTAAAATTTCAATAAAAGAGAGCTTACGATTCTACTCGAGGTTCTCACTTTTGCAGACAGCCCTGTGTCTTGTGTTTCATGGGAACCGGATCACTACACAGTACACCACGAGTCTCTTCATAAATCAAGCCCGAAATACGTTTCACACCTCCACGGCGAGCCAGATGGCATATAGCAGGCTTGGTGATGCCTTGGATGTTATCGCGGAGCACTTTCCGGTGTCTTTTGGCCCCTCCTTTCCCGAGACCCTTCCCGCCTTTTCCACGACCAGACATGACAAAAAACGACTACCAGATCTCTCTGAGTGAAACGGAGAAAAATGTGATGAGCGACTGCAAGAGCAACGGTTATATAGCACTTTACCCGACCTGAGTGAGAACTTTAAGAGAGGCGTACACCACTTTCGGCCCCTCCTCCCTTAACTATAAAAATTCTAAGAGGCGGGCTTTTCCATCAATAAATCAACTAGGAACTGGAATGTGACCAATCAGGTTCTTCATTTAGAAAGAAATGTGCTACAAAGTCGCAACTTTTCTTTTTATGCTTACAAAGCACTGTAACTTAATACACAAGCGGATGCAGAACTTTAAAAAAAAAGTTACAAAAACGTTGTGAAATTGAATGCACCTCGGGAAATTGGGAGTTGTGATTTGTGAATTGTAACAAAGCCGTTTATCAAGGAAATTTCTAAAAGTATGTTCGCAGAAATATTTATTTAGTGTCTTGTATTTCTTTTCGCTTTCAGTACTCGATTCCAACATATGATTTCGGCATGATGGCCAACGGTGCCTCAAGCATCCTTGGTTAAAAAAAAAAAATATTTTATGAAACAGTTCTTCGGTAATGTTTACTATGCATTTTTTTCTTCCTTAGACTTAAGGAAGCCTCAAATGGTTTCTCTTAGACATGATTGCGGCATTTTGGATAACATTGTCTCATGTTTCCCGAAAATTGGGATACACCGCAACAGCAACACCGATCACTTTCACATGCCTTCGTTACATCTTAACGAAATAGCGGGGAAAGCAGAAATCCAATTAGATCATCACTATGCGCAGTGCCTGCGTTAGCCCTGATTGGTTAAAAATGAAGTCACCACCCAATCCGTGTGAAGCCCGGGTTATTTGTTTAATGAACCATAGCTTTCTCAACCAATCAGCAATTTTCAGGAATTGCAAATGTTGCAATAATTCTGCACATCTGCATCCATTCATTTTAGTCCTTTTCTGGACATTCTTTCTCCTCCTTCCTCTGCTATCGTGAGGGAATATATAAAACAAGACTACGCATAAATTAGGGAGGAATATCCGGGCAATAGTAGTCGCGATAAGAACGAAAGGCAGCGCTCTCCCTCTGGTTTTGCGGGAGAATATGGCGCTACCTAAAATTCACCAATTTGCGCATTCCTTGTCCAACATTTAGCGAACAAGGAGCCATTGGTGAGTTCCTACCTAACACTTAGGGAAGTCAGCTGCTATTGTTGATCGCAAGATAAAGAGCCAGAGGGAAGATTCCCCACCCATCCACTTTTGCTTCAATATCCAGAAACCCCACCCGGAAAGTGACTTGGGAAGTCCCTACGACCTTCCCAAGAGTCCTTGTGGAAGTTTCAAGCAGGCACTTCAGACGTACTGAAGTGTTCCCCCATTGAAACGGGGGTTGACTTAAGCACAGTGAGTGCCTGCACTCAAATGAGGTCAGCCCTTTTGAAAAGAAAAAGTGGGTGGCTCTTAAAAGAGCCTTTGGGATCGAAAGAGTCACAGAAGCTGCTTC